CGAAACCGGTCGTGGGCTGTCGACAAATTCTCAGCAACCTTATGCGTAGTACATTACAAAGATATACATGTATCGCACTGGATACAAGACTCTGTATTGCCAGTACGCAAATTCTCCTTCTCTGGTGTGCTTTTCCACCAATCACGTCCTACCGGAATCACTTTGTTTTCTTTCGGAGAGTCACATGATCGCATGAATGATCGAATGATTTCGGTTTTTTCTTCACATAAGGAAGCTCTGCTTTGAGCGTAGTTGGTGGAGATCTTGAATGTTAACATTCCTCCGTCGATACCTTCCTACTGTGTTGTGCGGATGAGTTAAGTGGACCCACTGTCGACATTCCCAAGTGGTGCAGAAAAATCGGCGAATGTTTTTGGTGTGTGTTTTGGAAACTCTTGAAGTGACTGAGTACAGTACGCGCTGCATATGATAAAGCAATGAATAACCAGAGTACTACAAGCCCACCTTTTTCGAAAGACCTTTAAATTACGGAATGAACAAGGAAGATCGAAAAGGAACGTATAAGTTGAACCAGAAGTTTCATAACTCCCAAGAAACGGAATTCTTTGTGGCATTTACACTGGATCGATTGAGTGACGGTCACTCCAACACGAAGGACCTAGCTACTCATTTTGTCGACAGAGAGGTGGATGTATTAGACTGATTGTATTCTGTTCAACGGCATTGGGACTCAGCTGATGAGCCGCTTTCGATTGATTGGCTGGAACCCGGTAAATGGGCAATAAACGGGAGAGATCTAACCACTGGCACCAAGACAGTCATCATCATCATCGTCATCATCACCATCATCATCGTCAATATCGTCATTGCCAGCATACTATCAGTGTTCAACGCTGATGCTTCACTGCCGTGCCGAAGTGATTGACTGGGAGGTGTTTATATCTCTGACCACCATTTCAGTCAAATAGAAGCTGGCTACAACCACACCACCGATATCGATTATCTTGCAGCCAGCACAAGAAGAACCACACAGTACCCATCCTTGAAGGCTATTCGCATGGACAGTATCCAAGCTTTTAGCAACCGTTTCCATATCCCTGTACCCGGTGAAAGACTGACAACCTCTGTACGTGAGCCCCTCTGAAATGGGCATGGAGAACACCACTGTTTTCGACAAACTCTGATTAGGCATGTTCAACAAATGACCTAACCACCGCAGCTTGGGTGGTGAACACATTCTTCGATTGAAATGTCAGAACAGCATATTCATTTGATCGGTTGTTGGTCAGCTGGCTACTGGTCTGCTCGCAGAACTTGACCGTTAACATGGCTACAAATCCAAAAGTCATCCTGAATGGCTGGTGGGGAGAGTAGGTCCCACATCAAGGGGCCGCACTGAGGGCACAGTAAAGGAATGGTTAACAATATATCTCCAGCGAGTTAGCTAGCTATTAATCAGGGGACCAGTGAACTGTTAGCCAGTTTGGTCACCTATCACGAAACAACTAAGCAGCCATCAACGATTCAGTAACCAGCTAACACACCTGAGTTACAAATATTGTGACATATTGCTATCATTCACCTAAAAGCACTGGTGACGATTGTTTATTCTACCAAAAAATCATATGAACACATCAATAAATTGAAAAGAAACATGTGACCAGCGGTTCAGGAATGATGGGTCCCCAAGAACGCACCACACATTGGATGTCACCCTTCACACACCTTTGGCACCACTGAGTTCCATAGTTCACCAAAAGGAATCAGACCACCGGTCCTCAATCCGCTTGCACCGTCGCAAAAGACGAAGGAGTGTTGTCCAATCATATCCAGCGAAAATCGTCAAAAGAAAATTTGGAGTGATTCACCGGTCGTCTGCTTTGTCGTTGAAAACAGTTCATCAGTTGATTCTCGATGTAGCTGAATCGATCGCACTCAAACCGACCAATCCGTATGCTTGAGCGAACCAGTCAAAACTGATGGACTGTCTATCGATCGATCAATAAACGTTCCGAAGTATCACACGAATGTTCTAGTTTCTGCTAGCCCCTTCCACTGAATGTCCATCACTATGTTGAGTGACAACCAGTCTTTCATAAAACCATCAGTTTCATGAATCAAAGCCGTGTACATTCCCACGGCATTTGTCAACCCTGGCGGGCGAACAACCAACCGTCATTGATGCTAAACGGTTGTAACGTCCGCAGCTGACTCGAGACAGTTGGTCTTTTCCTATCATGTCGGCTTTTCCTGTTTAGGCTGGTTGATGGAATCGACAGACAGCAGGGTTTAGGGGCACAAAAAATCACCGGCTTGTAGTCAGCGGGATAGTTTTCATGTTCTTTTCGTTTTCGAGTGTTTATTGCCCCCGCGCGAACCAGTCAGTATTGCAGCCGTTTCTGTGTACCTCAGAAATGCGTTCGCCATACTGTTGCCGACCGGTAAAGTTGTCATGCAGAACCCGAAAGGCAATGTAAGCCAGTGGTTCACAACATGTCATCTGTTCAGGGCTAGTTGGTCAGTAGTGTGTAGTTGACTAACACTTGAGGGGAGTCGACCAACGAGCGCTTTTCGACGCTTCCCACTTCATGCCACGAAACATACGGTTAACTGGTCCCTCTAGTGATGAAGACGGAGTATCATGTCCACCTCTCTCGAGAGGCCACTTGCATTTTGCAGGTTATGAGATGCTTGACGCTTCCTATGAGGTCTTCATCCTAGGAAGCCCACCCCTCAAAAGGCTTTTACTTGAAAACTTTGAATGCTGTGTCGATTCTGCATGACAGCAGGGTTCCTTATTTTATTCTAGACAGTAAATTAGCCAGTGTAGATACTGATCAGGGTACTGTCATAGTGTGAGTAGTATGTACCCTACCATGCTGGAAACATTTACAAATTAGCAGAACTAGTTGGGATATCATCAGTCTGCATAGCTGTTACACATACCAGGAAGTCGCCTTGCACAAGCTGTGTCTTATCCCTTCGATAGTTGGGAGATGTTGCTCTGTACTGCCAGGAATTCCCATTTCTACCGCAATTTTCAGCGGTTGTTTTACAGTCGGTACTATGTGTGTTCTGCGGTCAAATGCATTGGAACTGGCGAGCTCCTTGTAGCCGTGATAAGCTACTCACAAAGTTGCTGAAAATCTTCGACAGCCTATGACGGGTTTTACCCTTCTTGGGGCCCATCATGCAGGCACAGTTTCCGAGCTCTCGTCAACCTTGTACATCATAAACAGGGGAGTCAGCTGGGTTTCAGTTGAGTCTCCCCCAAAAATCAAATTGGTAAGCGAATGAGTGTATTTGTCGAAATATGTCCAATTTGGGTTCAAGTAGAACACAAGGCTAACGGAAATTCCCGGATCGCGCCTACCCGATGAGCCCCACCAAGGTCATGGTCGATCTGATATATATGCACATTCTCAGGTCGTCACGCGCACAGGCATTCAGTCAGGACCTAAAAACGATCCGTAACTTCGACGCTATCGATTCTGAAGATGGAAATATGCCGCTTCCTGAAGGGGCCAACGGAAGCATTACAGACTGGCAACATTCCTTGGTGTAAAGTCTGTAGTTGACCGTAAAAGTGTTGCTTACCCGGAGAATCAACTTCAGAATGCTCGTTTTCTGTTACCCCGTACAGCCTCTCCTCGTCTCCCCTGAAAACGAGTTGCATAAGGCACACTTTATCAAAACTGAACTGTCGCATTCGCTTGAAATACTCTTGACTCTGCTCCGGAAGCAGAACCAACTCATTTGGGACGTCCAGGTCGAGACTAGTTCATGCCGAACCTCGCTGGGCATTGCACTGTCTGCCTCGATATGAATCATCACCCGTTGTACGACTATTCACCTACTGGTGTTTGCTCATATTTTTTGAGTGTATTTCGCTAACTCCGTGCAATTTGGTTTCAAGTAGAACATTAGGTTAACGGAAACTCGGGGACTGCACCTACCTGGTGAGCCCCAAGAAGGGTGAAACCGGTCGTGGGCTGTCGAAGAGTTTTCAGCAACCTTGTCAGTAGTTTCGGTGGGTTGATCACTATAACACTCATAACAGTCTCAAGGCAGAGGCTACGAGCAACCTTGTCAGTAGTTTCAGTGGGCAGATCACTATAGCACTTATAACAGCCTCAACGCAGACGCTACACAAATCGAGCGAGATGCGTGCAACTACAGAGTGACCAACACTCAACGTCTGCGTCATCTACCAGGGTCACCAGATGAAACTACAAGGTTACAATGAAGGTCGTTTCTTTTCTCCCCCAGATGGGGAAATATTGATCCATACGAGACATCCAAGGTTTTACGTTGATTTCGAATAGAGGTTTTTGTGGCCGAGATAGTTGTGGAAATCAAGACCTGCATCGCGTAGACCGAGAATCGAAACGGAACAACTACGATGACCACAAACGTATCAAATTAGTTCCCTCGGCCTGAAGAACCGTAATTTGTTATTGGCATGTCACTCTCAAGGGTGGTTGAACAGTCAAACTGTGATCAACACACAGAATGAAGTACCGGTTTGATTCGCTGTTTATGCGTGTGGCGGTGCGTTCGAAACTCAGATTACCAGCACCTTTTTGTGTGCTAATGAGTCAGACTGGTCTTATTTGTCCACGTGGTTGGTGCACCTGTGAGCATGGAGACAAAGACTCGGCACACTTGACTGGATCTTGGCACAAGGTAAGTAGGACAACGTTTCAGTGGCGCGTCGGTGTGTACGGTTACTCTGGTTACACCGGATGCTCCGAAACAAAACAAAAAATGTGGGTAGAACAGAGAGAAAGTGGATAAGAGAGACCTGTGTTTTTGTAGACAGAACAAATGTGTTTAGAACTCGGGTTAGTCTGCTGACAGAGAGAAAGTGGATAAAACAGACCTGTGTTTTTGTAGACAGAACAAATGTGTTTAGAACTCGGGTTAGTCTGCTGTGAGCGAGTACAGAATGACAAGCAATAAATCCGACCAATCTCAAAATTGAATAAATGTATAAACCATAGGTGTAACATGCTACTCATAACATAGCTGAAAGCACTTCAACAGCAGCTGTTTTACCCGTTCTTCTTGAGACTCGTCAGGCAGAACACATTCCCCGAGTTTTCTCAACCTTTTGTTCTGCGTAAACTTAAATTGAACGGGATTCTCCAAGTTGCGCACTAATTTGCCTCAGGAAATACGATTTCATGATTTATGTAACATGAGAAGACACAGTCAATTGAAGAAGAACATCATAAACGAAATATTCATCTGGGATTCATTTGATTCTTTGGTCAAAACCAAATGATAGCACTTGAGGAATGGGCAACTCCCCTCCCCCCACCCACCCTCCACCAGCTGTAAGCAATCCAGAGCTCAGTCAGAAATGTCTGACAAGCAGAATGTGTTTTCATGTATGAAAAACTTTTCGTTCTATAGGTGAATTCAGTCTATGAGCCAGTGACTTCCCGGGTTTTGTTTGAGGATTAAACCGGTCTACTAAAAGTGGCCATTCAGCAGTATGATGTGGCAGGATATGGCGCTGTGTGTGTGTGTGTGTGTGAACTCAGTAAAACTACCACACTCTAAGGAGGAAAGTAAGTTTGACACCGCAAGAGATATTCATTGTTTGAATAAATAAAAAAAATAGCCAGTCACCCAACCAATCAATCAATCAATTAGTCAACCTTGCTTGCGCTGAAATTGGTTCTCCTTACGAAGGCGAGTAGTGACAACAACGCAGTATCTCCATTTTCCCCTAATGGAGTTATGGGCATATTGAGATGGGATATATGGTCGTGCAACCACCAGGATGAGTAGAACGGCTTCGTTACGTCGATGCCTAAGACCGATTCTATTTAGAAGCAAAAGCATTTTCCTAAAGGAAACTACTCACAAGGTTGCTGAATACTCTTGGACAGCTCACGACCGGTTTCGCCCTTCTTGGGGCTCATCAGGTAGGCGCAGTCCCCGAGTTTCCGTCAACCTTATGATCTACTTGAACCCAAATTGGACTGTTTACGAGAAATACACTCATTTGCAAATCAATTTGGTTTTCACGAGAGACTCAACTGAATCTCTCGGGGACTGCGCCTACCTGATGAGCCCCAAGAAGGGCGAAACCGGTCGTGAGCTGTCGAAGAGTTTTCAGCAACCTTGTGAGTAGTTTCCTTTATGAAAATATACTACAATATCTGGAATATCGTGCCAACTGAAACATGGAGCGGCCTGTGTGCAGCACATTCAATTGTAAAATATCATACTACATTATCATATATATGTATGTAACTTCTCTCCCACTCTCCTGGACTTCTTTCGGAAAGCCTTGTTCAAGCATCTGTGAGCTGAAATAACCAAGACATTGATCGGTCCGAAGGCACTAAGCGCAAGCGTTTCACAAACGAGAAAGTATGTAACGGAACCCACCACCAATACAGGCATTTCTCTATCTGACTGCCATCGACTTGACGGAAGTTATCACGTCTGAATCTGCAGTGGAATTCCTCACGAACGTGCTTGGTCAGAGCGGGTACTCAGATCTGATTTGGATGCTTCCCTGCTACGCGTCAGCTGCAACGTGGGTATTTCAGAAATGTTTTAAAAACTTAATAAGACCTAGGACAAAACCTTTCATGATGTCAAGTTTCGAATCATGCTCACTAGTTTTTCCCCAATCAGACCAGTTCCCTTGTCAGACCTCCTTCGTGTTCGTCCGCTCTTGTCGACGCTGGTCAACAGTCAATCAATAGGACACCTGGAAAGGGAAACAATCGTGATTAGTTCTCTCTCGGTTACCAAGCCTCAGATAAATGTGTCAAAAAGTGTCTTCTCTAGTCTCCATATGACAAGATAATTGTCAAGTCGGAATGTTCGGTCTCGAGTTGCATCACACACGTCCGTTTCCGGCTTATTCTAGAGAACACCTGCAGCTATTTCCAGAACACTCGGATAGTTTACGAGCAAAAGAATTCGTAGGGCGATAAATCATGACCTAGTTGGTTTCGTCGTTATCGCTCGGAGCGGCGTTTTGTCGGCAGAATACGAAGACCGCCTTAAAGACGGATGCATTCATGCCGTTTAGAATAACCGACTATTTTTCTAAGCACTGAGTTGCTGACTGGAGTTCCCACGCCACCTAGCGATCGATAGGCGAATAAATAGATCGCTCTGGGAGAACACATTGAACGGCTATTCATACAAAGACATGGGAGATGCATATGAAGCTGCGCTTGAGAAGGCATCATTCTACTCGAAACCTTGAATAAAACCTGTACTTTCCCTGAACCCCACCGTTCTCTTTGAAGTCAGTTCGTAATAAGACGCATAACTAGACAGAATCATGCGTCCAATGCACTGTTCATGTTGAGTTACACCAAACATTTTGGTCATGGAAAATCACTTACGTCTATACATGTATCGCGATATCTTGAAGATCGTACCAACTGAAACATGAGGCGGCCTGGCGCAGCACATTCGGTTGCTTGAAAACGTCATACACAAGAGATTCAGCTAGGTTGCAGGTGAGTCTCTCGCAAAACTAAATTAGTTCGCAAATGAGTGTATATCTACCATGCATGGTTGGAGGCAGTGCAAGGTCTGGCGGCTAATCGATGCCAATTCCGTTCTTGTTGTACGTTGCTATCCCCGTTGTCTAAATGAGTGTGGGGGGGGGGGTGCATCCCAGTATTTATTTCACATAAATTGTGGTGCCTATGATGATGAACTAAAAGGCAGACGGCTCAATCAGGTGAAGAATGTTCGGAGCCGATTAAGTAGTCATTGTTTTCGAAAAAAGTTTGGTGACCATCGGCAGATTTATTTCTGGGCAACGTGTCGCTTCNAAAAGCCTCCTCAGGCCAAGTGACTAGGTTCCGAGGTTGATCGAGATTTAATAGGTAGAACCAATCAGCTAAGTCAAGCTAAATCTCTTTTGGGTGTCGGCCGGGGGATTCTTGTGTGTTAGGGTGCGGAAATGTTGCCCAGCAACAAATCTACCGATTGTCACCAAACTTTTTCGAAATCGCAGACGGCTGAGTTATACTGAGCATCGTATGTTGGTCACACGATGGGCAGAATATAGGAGCGCAGTGTGACCTCAGACTCCATAGCATTACATTGACCGAGATTGATTAAGGGACGGAGGAAGGCCTTTTGTTGACATCAACCGGGTACTGTCAGACAGATCGAGATGAGTTTTTGTTATTGAGATTGAGGCCTTGGAAATCCGGCCGGACCACTCACTCATTCAGAAGAGGAGTTCGAGATAGCTCAGTGGTTAAAACGCGAAAAGACTGACTGGAGGGTCCGCGGTTAGAACCAGATCCCCACCTCACCCCGGAATGAACTATGTAAGCCCTACAACTCCACAATGAAGTCACGTGAATCACATCAAGAATACTTTCGTCCACAATTAGACCAGTCTGAAACGTTTGGTTTGGTGACAATCGGTAGATTTATTGCTGGGCAACGTTTCGCTTTTGACACAAAAGCTTCGTCAGGTCAAGTGACTAGGTTCCGAGGTTGGTGAAGATTTAAGGCGGAAGGAGAACCAATCAGCTAAGCCAAGCAAAATCTCTGTTGGGTGTCAGCCGAGGGATTATTGTCTGTTAAAGTGGTTGAACAAGTGTTGGGTCGGTGGAGAAACCTACGTGTGTTTGGGTCTAGTCTAGGGTCTAGTTCTTCTGGTTCGGTCCCTCTCGAACTTCGTTTGAACCTCCTATCAGTCTGTGTGGCTGAGCTAGACCAGTCTTTATTGGATCTCCCTATTAGGTAGTGATTGAGTCATCTTGAATCGATTTCTTCGGAGAAAATTTCACTTGAAAAATTACAGAATACCATTCCAACCCACCGGCCTATCTGATCAGAGATGTCCAGGGCGCACTGGTGAAACGAAGAAGGCCTTCGCTGCGGAGTTGTTTATTAGAGAGAAAAACCCCAACTGAACAGTTACAGACTATTGGACAGGGGAGCAAAGCCCTCATACGCATCTTGTTTACAAAA